GCCGAGGTCCAGAACACGGTCACTTGGTGGTGATGTGACGCACACAGGCGAACTCCCGAAGCAGCTGAGCTTTGGAGGAGGAGCTGGGGTCGGGGGGCTTCGCTGCAGCTCGGGCAGGCCGGGAAGGAGTCAGGATCCCCCCCGCCCGCTTTCATGCATTCACTGATCAGATGTGAAGGAACGTCTGATCCATGCCAGCCTGTGCTGGGCACTGGGGTAGAGCAGGGACAGACCACTGCCCCTGCCCCCAGGGGCTCACAGTCCAGACAGGAAGCACAGGGAATGAGACAGTCCCCCCTCAGGGACGTCAGGGAAGTCTCTGTAGGGAGGTGACACAAGAACTGCACCCCAAAGAATGAAAGGGAGTAAGCTGTCGGCTGGAGACGAGGAGAGGGCGTCTCAGGCAGAGCACGGTGGGAGCCGACGTGGAAAGGCGGGCTGGTGCCACGACGGGGCTGGGATGAGAGCCTTGGTCCTGTGCCATTCTCAGGTCCCTGCCAAGACAGACTGTGTCATGTTCTTTGGGCCTGTGGTCCCAGATGGCTACGGTGTCTGCTATAACCCCATGGAGGCGCACATCAACTTCTCCGTGTCGGCCTACAACAGCTGCGCAGAGACCAATGCGGTCCGCCTGGCGCACTACCTGGAGAAGGCGCTCCTGGACATGCGCGCTCTGCTGCAGAGCCACCCCCAGGCCAAGCTCTGAGCCCCGCTGCTCAGGCCTGCTGGTGCCACGGCCAAGCCGCCTTGGGCTGGCCCACCCACCGGGCCCTACTCCTTCGCTCCCTCTCCCCCTGGGCCCCCGCAGATCCGACCGAGTCTGGGATGGCATCCCCCAGCGGGGCCCGCGGGGCCGAGCTGAGTACCTTCCGTGGGTCCTCGCCAGCACCCAGGCTGAGTCCAGAAGCTGAGCAGGAGGTCGGGCCCGGCGCCCAGCATCTCACCCGCCGTGGCCTCCTCCTGGGAGAGGAACCAGCCGAGCTCATCTCTCGTCAGGGTGGGGACTGGGGAGTCCCTTTCTTACTAGCTCAGCTCTGCCCAGGTCCTCCCGTGTACGCGGCCAGGCTTGGGTCTGTACCCTGATCCCTAAGCTCCCAAGGACCTAGAGACAGGGTTACCTGGAGCTGGGGGCCTCCAGGCTTCCCCAGGGCTGAGGGGCCAGGGCGCAAGGTGTGTGGTGGAGGGGAAGCCCACGCAGTGTCACAGCACCGTCCCCCGTGGCTCCGTGCTCTCCTGGGTGCCGTGGCTCACAGGCCCCAGCTCGCTTGCTTCCACACAGCTTGATTCCTGAACCATGTCCTGGTTGTATAACAGTATCACGCGAGGCAGTTAATAAAGGGGAAATTTGTTGGGAAAGAGTTGTTTCAGCCGAGGAGGCAGGCAGGGTGCGGCAGATGCCTGGCTTTGCCTTCCTGCAGCTTCCCCCGCATCTGGGAGCTGGTGTCCAAGCCGCCAGTGGGCCCAAGGGGAGGGCTCCCAGAGGAGCGGAGCTCTCAGGCTTGGGTCAGGAGGCCAAGGGCCAGCTCGGACCTCAGGGCTCTGGGCCAGGACGGCACCAGACCCAGGCCTGCGTTCTTCATGGATACCTCCCACCTACCCATGACTTGGGCCTCTCCAGTGCCATGGGCTGTGCGCCGGGACAGCCCTTCCAGGGGACTGTGGGGCCCGATACCCTCGAGTCTGGTTGTCTGGGCAGTGTGGCTGACACCCAGGGCCCAAGGCCTCATCTGCTGCCTTGCACTGAGCCCATCAGGAGTGGTGGCTGGGCAGCCATGCTGACCCCAGCCCCAGCCACTGCCTGGGACCACCAGGCACCAGATCATGTGGCCACCCGGTCCAAACATTGTATCTGTCCCCAACCCCACGCACCTGGTACGGGCAGGGTGTCCTGCCAAAGTCAGCTGGGCTGTCTGTGGAGAGCGGAGGGACTCTGGCCCTGAGGAAGACACATGTGAAGCCCCAATTGGAGATGCCAAGGGTGGGAGAGGCTACCCAGCCTGTGGGGGCGGTGCTTCATGGCCTGGCTGACCTGCGGTGGTCACCGCGGGAGGCGGGTCCTGAGGTGGTGTCCGTTTTGCAGATGACGGAACAGGCTCGGGGAGCACGTGCCTCACCATGGGGCGAAGCCTCGGGGAGCAAGGAGTAGAGCCCAGCCCGTGGGGGAGTGGGTGTCACCCGAGGCCTGGCTGCTCCTTGGGACCCCGGCAAGGCCGGCAGGGTGGGGTATTGCCAGGGCAGGGGTGCACGAGTGTCCCTTCAGGGACCTCAAGCAGGAGGACCAGAAGAGAATCCCACCTCAACAGCACAGAGGCCTTGCTCTGCAGCTGGGGAGCGGGGCGGGCCCCTGGTGTCCGCAGGCTGGGTCTCAGGAAGCAGGGCCCGCAGCCAGAGCTGAGCGTGCCCTGTGTGAGCAGCGCTAGGGCGGAGCTGCACCGACCCAGCCGGGGGCAGGCAGGGAGGGGAGACAGTGATGCAGGCCAAGGACACTGCAGTGACACACACCCAGGACTCCTGAAACTCAAGTTCTAAGAACTGTATGGGTCTGACCATAAGGCAGGATTTTTTCCCAAAACGTTATCCTTCAGAAGTGAGGTCATTCCGTTGCATCTGAGTTGCTATAGGTCTCATAACACAGAGGCTCACTCGGTTCTTGAGGACAGCAAAGTACCGCTTGGGGAAGACACATGTAGCACCTAAACAACCCCAGTCAGTGTTAGATGGAATGCTTAGAGGTCCCCGGGTGGAGCTTCTGGGGGAAAAAAGTCAAAAGAACGATGAAGATGTAGTAATTATTCCTGAGGGTGTGACCTGTGGCCTCACACTTTGCAAGTGTTGAATGCAGGACAAGCAAGTGTCTTACGGGTCTCTGGACGTGAGGGGAGGTAAGTTTGGGGCAGGTCACATACTCCTACAGGAGCGATTTTTAAAATCCAGCTGTCTGAATGTTACACCCGTATGTTTGGAATAAGATTTCAAGTACACTGTCATGCATGAAATCCAGAAGGTGCTGCTGTACCCCAAACTGCCTGTCTAGTGGACCCAGGAGAACTAGGTCAGCAGACCCAGAGGTTGCCCAGGGACAACCAGACCCTGATGCCAATGATGCAGAAGAACTTTTTTTTTTTTTGCAAAATGAGTGAAAAAGAACTGTCCTCAATTTATGTACTTTGTGTAATACAGCATTTGAAATTTGAGAATAATCAAATTAATAATAAAGATGACTTGGCTTTTACCTAGGGCCCCTGAGGTTTGTCCGGGTTGGCATGAACTTGATGTTGCTCTCTCCATGGGGAAAGTGCAGTGGCTGGAATCAAGGGCAGGCCTGGAGCAGAGCCCCAAGGTTGAGTGAGGGCTGGACGCCATGGGCCAAGTTAAAGGCTTGGGTTTTATCCCAAGACACTGAGGATGATGTTTTAAGAAGATGCTGAGGAATGGACTGAAGGGCCCTGATGGGTGGGGATGAGGACAACCTGCCAGGAGGCTTTGCTGCTGCTGAGCAGGGGGTAGTGGGCTGGGACCCAGACTGGCCTGGAAGGCAGAGAAAGTGGCTATTTCAAAAGACACAAGGTGGAGTGAGCAGGGCTTGGTGACCAACTGAATGGGAAAAGGAGTTGGGCAACCCGCAGGTGGGGTGCTGGGCAGCTCTCTGAGAGCCCAACCAGGGTGAACGTGTGGGTGAGTGCCAACTGGGGTAAAAAGCAGCGTTTACCCGGGATTCAGGGAAACCTCAGGGCTCATGAGACGGCCCCGTCCTCTCTCTTGCTGCATCCTGGATTTCCTCTGACCTCCAGTTTTTCTCTTTAACTACGTCTAGTCTGCTGTTAAATCTACCTACTGAGTTCTTGTTTTTTGGCTATCATTTTCCAGTATTCATTGAAAAATCTGCCAGCGTTCATGTTATAGTTTCCTGTTCTCTGCAGATACACACATATATACACACATACATACATACATACATATATATATTTATTTCTGGCTGCCTTGGGTCTTCGTTGCTGCGTGCGGGCTTTCTCCATTTGTGGTGAGCGGGGGCTATACTTCGTTGTGGTGCGTGGGCTTCTCATTGAAGTGGCTTCTCGTGGAGCACGGGCTCTAGGCGTGTGGGCTTCAGTAGTTGCAGCACAAGGGCTCAGCAGTTGCAGCACGCAGGCCCTAGAGTTCATGGGCTTCAGTAGTTGTGGTGCGTGGGCTCAGTAGTTGTGGCTCGCAGGCTCTAGAGCGCAAGCTCAGTGGTTGTAGCACACGGGCTTAGCTGCTCCATGACATGTGAGATCTTCCCGGACCAGGGATCAAATCTGTGTCCCCTGCACTGGCAGGTGGATTCTCAACCAGTGCACGCCCAGCGAAGTCCTGCAGATATTTTCAAGTTTGTCCCTTACTTCTTTAAAAAAGTAAAACAACTTAAAATCTGTGCTCGATCATTCCAGCACCTGAAGTACGTGTGGGTTTGTTTCTAATACTTGTTTCCAGCTAGTTCTCAAGGATGGTGGTGATTCCTTTCCTACCTGGTCATCTTTGTCTCTATTTTGTTCATGGTAGTTTCTTAAAACTGTATAAACAATTGAAGCCTGGCATGAAGGTTCCTTCTTCCGGAGATTTGTTTGCTTCTGCCACACGTCTGGGATGAGTCACCTTAGCTAAATGTCTGGGTTGTGTGGACCGTGGTGGGGACCCAAACCCAGCCTTCGAGCTCATGTGAGGATGGGATTACTTCTGATTCGCCTGAGGGCGAAGCTGTTATGAATCTCAGGTTAATGAGTTAAAGAAGGGTTAGAACCCCCACATTGGACTCCTGAAATGGCTTGTGTTCCTTTCACTCCTACAAGGCATCCAAAACCCAGGTCAGTTTGCAGTTATTTCTTCCAAAGCACGATACTCACCCGTCCGCACGCTAAAGCAGCACTGAACTCAGCAAGGAGCGGAGGTCTGTATCCTCACAGAGGCTTAGGAAGGACATGCAGGTTGTCCCCAGTCTTCAAGGGCTGTCACATGAAGGAGAAGCTAGGCTTACTGAGAGCAGAGCCAGCCAGCGCCACAGGGGGAGGTAGACTGGGACTAAAAAAACTCAATGGAAGGGAGCTGTCCTCAGACCCCAGTGGGGTATGTCACAGAGGCCATTCCAACCCTGGCTTTGGGGGCTGGAGGGGACTAGGTGTCTTGGAGACGCGCACGATCTTCTGGTCTTAACCACGCCCTTGCCCCTCGGGTTGTGTGTCCGCACAGCCACGTCCCCGGCTCCTCCCATCAGCTCAGTCAACATGTTCAAGCTGCCAGAGTTGAAGATTTTATTTTAAAACAATAGTAAACAATTTTCATTGATTTTTCTTAAGTCAAACCACCTCACACTTGGCTTATCTCAGGCAAAATGTAAAAAATAAAAATGAGAAGGGAAGGAAAGGAAGATGTGGGGAATGACCAACCTTCCCCAGAAACAGGCCCCTGGTCCTGGCATCTGGAATGGCTTTGGACACTGTCTTTAACAAATGAGAAAAGAAAGCACCAAAATATTGTGCTTCAGCAGCAGATTAGGAACCTCCACAAAGAAAAGGCGGCCGGGGGAGGGAGGGGGGTCGGGCCCTGAACACAGGTCCCGAGCAGCCTGGTTCAGTTCTAGAAGCTTCCAAGTCTGGACGCATCTCCTCTCCACAGCTCCATTTCAAGGCGGCTTCAAGATTGGGAGGAGTCGTCCTCCGAGCTGGGCAGTGGGGATCTGTGAGCCACACCCCGGACACAGGTTTGGGGTGACCCAAGCAGGTTCCCAGCCTCTCGGAGGGGGGTCGGGAAGGACAAGGAATGCTCAGAGCACACAGAGGGGAGGGAAGGGTGGGGACAGTAGGCACCGCTACCCCACTCCTCTCACCAGCTCCTGCTTCCTCTGCATTTTGTTCGGGTGGAGATGAAGACGACCCACTAGCGGACGCAGGACAGGAAAGAGCTGTAAACAGCTTGGGTTTGCTCACCCACAGGCGCAGGCTCTTTCATCAGAAAGGGACCGCTGTCTTGGGGACAGGGAACCAGAGAAAGCCCTTGCAGCGCAGGGTCGATGCGGGTAGGACACAGCGATGGCAGCGCAGACGCTTGCTCTCTCTGGGCCTGGCTCCCACACGGGAAACACTGACCGAGGTTCTGGAATGGCGTTGGTGGCAGGGGGGGCATGGGGGTGCTCCCTCCTCCTGGGCCCCCAGGCCATCTCTCGGGCCCAGGGCAAAGGGCCTAGGAAGCTGACCTGGGCTCCTCGGTACGCAGGGCAGCCCCCGCAGAGCTGGGTCTTCCAGTCCCTCTCCAAAATCCCATCTGCCTTTGACAAAACCAAAAAATAAATAGTGTGCATTTTTCACGCCACCTACATTTCCTGGCCCTGCGGCCAGAGATTCAAGCCCTCCTTCTCTACCCCATGCCCCAGTGCCCACGTCAGGGGCACTTTCCGCCCAACTGGGGGCTGGCAGCAGCACTGTGAGGGTCTCTGGCTGTGAGGCCCCCCGGCAACAGGCCCTCCAGGGTCCTGGCTGAGGGGCTGGCTCAGCCCTTTGGTCCACCTTGTTCGTTAAAATTAAAATAAGAAAAAAAAAGGCTCCACTCGGTGACTTGGGTCTGTAGAGGTCTCTGCTTCGTCCCTCTGTCTGTCATTCCATCCACCCTGCAAGGCATCGTGCAGGCCACATCTGGAGGCTGGAGACAGCCACACTCACCCGTCACTGCAGTTTCGTCCCCAGCTTGCGCTGTCTGTTCCTGCAAAGTGGGGGTGGGGGTCAGATGAGGGGACTCCTGGCGTCCAGTGACTCGCCCCTCAGCTGTCTCCTTCCTCCCCACAATCCCATCAGAATGAGTGAGGGTCCACTCCCAGTAGCCCCAGTGGTTGGCTCAAGCTGGGCCAATCAGAGCTCCTGCCCTGGGACCTGGGACTTGGGGCCTAGAGAGGGTCAATGTCTCTGCTGGGCCTGTATCACAGGTGCTCAGCTCTGGAGTCCAAGTGCAGCCAGGAGGCCAGGGCAGGGGCGGGGGCCAGGACGGGAGAACAGAGGCAAGAGGGACCTGGCTGGATTCCAGTAATCATGGGCAGTTCCCACTTATAGATAAGCCAGCATAAGTGGGGTTCTGTTACCATCAACCTAAACAGACAAGAAGGTAGTGAGTTCTCCATTTGGGATATACATAAGCAAAGGTAGGAGCACTCCTGATACAAGTTATCGAGTGGATCTGAGTACCTGACTTGGGGGTGTGGCGATACCTACGACGGGCTCAGGAGCCTGAAGGAAGCAGGGGCAGCCCCGTTCCCTGGAGGGCCTGGCTCCTCGAGAGACCCCACTGAAATTCAGAAACCTAACTGTCCCCACAGGTCCTGCGTGATGCAGCCCCAGACTCGTGCCATGGCCAGCCCCCTTCTTCCCTGGGCTCCAGCCACACCTGCCTCTGTCTGTTTGGTGGACTCCCCAAGCTTCCTGTTCTCAGAAGCATTGCACAAGCTGTTCCCTATGCTGAGAGCACTCTCCCTGCTAAACCCCAACTTGGACAGTCCCGCTTTCTCTCTGCTCAGACCTGTCACAGCGGCCAGCCAGCCCAACCACACACCCTCACAGCACGCTGCTGTCATGAGCTCTCAAGCCCGAGGCACTTGTCGCACAGGTAGGTGCCTCATTCCTCGTGTCCCCCCTGCCGGCCACTGCCGCCCACAGCCTGGCACAGAGCAGGTGCACATGGAAGTTTGGGTACATCAAGGTGGGTGGCGGCCAGCCGGGAGGGGCGGGGCCGCTCTGGAAGCCAGGTGGAGAGCCTGGGCCAGCTGGGGCCTTCCGCCAATAACAGGATTGCCTGCCCTAACCCCTCAAATCCCCTTTCCTCAGAATCCAGGGCTTTACCCTTAAGTTCGTTAGGATAATTGGGACCATGATGCCCTAGACACACTTCCCGGCTGCTGTGACCCCGCCCTGTGGTTCCTCTCACCAGGAACCCAGGGCTCCTCAGGAAACCTCCCAGGCTTGTGCTGGAGCCCAACCTCGCCTCGGCTCCCCTCTGAACCTGGGAAGGAGCCAGGCCTTCCCGACCCCACCTGGCACCCCACCCAGGATGTGGGGTGCGTGGAGAGCTGAGTCAGAAGAAGCCTCCAAAGCCAGCTTTGCCCTGACTGGCTGTGCAAACACGGGTGCCCCTAACTCACCACACCTCAGTTTACCCCTCCAGAGGAAAGTGTCTGGACTAAACAGTCCTGAGGGGGGTCGACACACAGGCTCCCAGAGAATCCTGGCTGCCCAGCTCTCTGGTTCCGGGCCACAGAGGTTAAAAGCATGGCCCTGGGGCTTCCCTGGTGGCGCAGTGGTTGAGAGTCCGCCTGCCGATGCAGGGGACACGGGTTCATGCCCCGGTCCGGGAAGATCCCACATGTCGTGAAGCAGCTGGGCCGGTGAGCCATGGCCGCTGAGCCTACGCGTCCGGAGCCTGTGCTCCGCAACGGGAGAGGCCACAACAGTGAGAGGCCCGCGTACCGCAAAAAAAGGAAAAAAAAAAAAAGAGAGAAAAAAAGCATGGTCCTGGGCTCAACAGCCTAGGTTCCCAGCCCAGCTCCCACACCCACGATCTGCAAACCCTTGGTCAAGTGATTCCTCTCCTCCCCTCTCTGAGCCTCAGTTTTCTCATCTGTAAAATGGGGTCCAGGGGAGGATTCACTGAGGCAGTGCAAGAAAAGTGCTTAGGCAAGTGCCCGGCTCTCAGGCAGCCTTCCAAAACTGGGGGCGGCACTGACTGAGGGATGTGCCCCACTGAGCCAGGACCCAGTGATTGCTATCCCCTTGACTCACCTGGCTTCTGCCCGGGTTACCGTGTACTCAAACCAGAGTACGTTGGGAATGAGGCTCGTGTCTCGGATTAGGAAGAACTCAGAGATAGGCCTGGAGAGACAGACACCCGGAAATCCAGGACCATATCAGAACATGAGTCTGTCACCAAGCCAGACTCTCCCACCAGTGCCTGGGGCCGGCGATGCACCCTCTCCCCACCACTTTGCCTGGCCTGTGCAAGACCCAGATGTGTCGCCTGTGTGACACTCAGGCAGGTCCAATGCCCCAAGGCACACACAGCCCAGAAGGACACATGCTGCTTTCCAAGTCCCTGAGAGGCCAGGCAAGGACAGAGGCTGGCATCTTGGCTTCTGGGCTGAGAAAACGCCTGGGGGAGATGGAAGCCAGACGAGCGGGGCCTGCAGCCCTATGCCCACCAGAGGCCTGGGCACTAGGGCCCTCCCAGGGAGACTGAGGCTGGGGTCAGGACGCCTGGGTCCTCCCACTGATGGCCCCTTCGCAGGAAGGGGCACGGGCTATAGTGCCTGGGAAGGTGGGGGGAGCGGGGGACAGCAGCAGGGGCAGGAGGCAGTTACCAGGCTGCTATCCTAGGGAACAGGGGAGTGAGGACCTCCTGCGTGAAGACGAACCAGGCGATGGCCATGAGGCCTCCAGCGATGCCCCCATAGAGCACCTGGCTCCAGGTGTGGTACAGCAGGTAGACCCTGGGCCAAGGACAGAGGGAAGTTCATGAGAGCCAGCCAGAGACAGTCCTGCACAGCCTCCCTGCACGCCTGAGTGTCAGCTTCCCTGGACCTCTGCACACACACGGGAGACATATACAGACGGGGCAGGCCCCTGTGACCACACGGACTCAGAGCTACTTCTAGAAAGAGGCAAGGGGTTGGACCCCAACAGCTGCTCCCCTGACTCTAGAAGTGAAGGGATGGCTCAGCTAGGATTTGCCTCCCTTCTGTCCAGCCCTTGAACTTGGAGTTTGTCTGCAAGGGGCTGCTCCAGGACCTTGGGAACAGATGGCTAACCCTAGAACCTTGGGCCCAACCAAGAGGAGAGAGCAAGGACTGGGTTGGAAGGGGCAGCTGGAGCCCTGGCCCTTTAAAATGAGAGGCCTGGAGCTTCCCTCGTGGTGCAGTGGTTAAGAATCCGCCAATGCAGGGGACACGGGTTCGAGCCCTGGTCCGGGAAGATCTCACATGCCGCGGAGCAACTAAGCCTGTAAGCCACAACTACCAAGTCTGCGCTCTAGAGTCCATGAGCCACAACTACTGAGCCCGCGCGCCTAGAGCCCGTGCTCCGCAGCAAGAGAAGCCACTGCAAGAAGCCCGCGCACCGCAACGAAGAGTAGCCCCCGCTCGCTGCAACTTGAGAAAGCCCGCATGCAGCAATGAAGACCCAACGCAGCCAAAAATAAAAAAATAAAAAAAATAAAATAAAATAAAATGAGAGGCCTGGGACCCCCTTCGCAGCCCTGCCCTACAGGCTCTGGGACTCGGGTCCACAGCGAGGTCCAATAGGGACCAAGTATCCAGTGGGCAGGGCGTGGGGCAGGGGCTCTCCCTCCCTCTGTACCTGCTATAGGAGACTAGAAACGCCACGGTGAGGAGACCCAGGGAGAGTACATGCCTCCACAGCAAGTCCAGGAACCTGGCGTTGTTCGTTTGGTGCATTCTGGGAAAACAAGCCTGTTAGGTGGCCTCGGCCCACAGCCTGGGGCCCAGGCCTCCCACACAGCCCCGGCCCCAGCCACATGCTCCCTGGGCACCTTCTGCCTTGGCTGCAGCTCCTCCCACCCCCAGTAGAGGCCAAGCCCTAAATGGCATCCAAAGGGCTTGCAGCAAGTCCCTGGCAGAGGCCAGCCTGGGCCAGTTCAGGGCCACCCCAGCCAGGGCAGAAGCTCACCTTAAATACAGAAAAAGGAAGGAATAGACGGAGAAGAACCACATAAACTGGGAATGGCTGGAGGGCATCCCGTACTTGGTGCCCACTGCCGTGTGGGGACCTGGTGGAGACAGAGAGCAGGGCATGATGGGAGGATGCAGGCCTCCCAGTAATGCCCTAACCTGGGGGACCCGCAGACCCCCAAGGCCTGGGCCCTACCTCCACAGGGCCGTGGCTCCTGAATGACGTGTTTGATCAGCCAGTTGACCCCCTCGTTCAGTGCCAAGCCCCCAAGGAACGAGATCTGCTGGGAAGATGCATGGTCAGCAGGGCCTCTGTGTGCTTGCTGGCCGCCGCCCAGCCCAAAGGCCGTGGCCGCCCACTGAACCTCCAGCCCAGTGGACAACCTGAAACCAGCCAGGAGGCTCCACACACCTCAAGAAAGGTGGAAGCAGGGAATGGAAGGCAAAGCCCCTGGGGAGGAATGGTGAGGCCCCTCCTCCCTGGGGTGGGAGTGACTCACTCACCGTGTGCAGCTCCCGCTTGAATATGATGAGGGTCACAAAACCAACGATGACAAATACGGGGCTGAGGCTCAGGTAGGCAAGGAGATGGCCAGAGAGATCACCTGGGCAAGGCAGGGAGAACAGGATGAGGACAGAGCGCAGCCATGGGAGAGGGCCTGGCCCCCAGCAAGCCAAGTAGAGCCTCAGTCAGAGGTGGTCCCAGCCAGGCCCGGAGCGCAAGGCCAGGCGGCTGGGGGTGCCTCAGCCTTCCAAGCTCACCGCTCGTCATCAGTCACGGGCACAGCGTGTTTACTAAGCACTCAGGTTCACAGATCGTGAGTTTAAAGCAGGTGCCTTCACTCTCCCTGTTCCACAGATGACGACACTGAGTCCCCCAGGGGCTGCATGATTTGTCCAAAGTCACACAGCCAGAAAGAGGTAGGATCTGACTAAAATCCAAGTCTCTAGCCTGGTCCAGGTGCTACACCCACTATCCCACCAAAGCGGATATTTGAACCTGGCTTGGTCTGACCCCAGAGGCTGGGCCCTGTCCCAGGAGGCAGCCTGGCGGGCACATGGATGACTCTGGAACGCAGTGCTGTGCGGAGACCGACCCAGCCAAGCCCTGGGCCTCCAGGGCAACCTGGTGTTCTCTGAACACTGCACAGACTTGGGTCTACACTGTGGACTCTGACGGGGACCAAGGCTGGGGGTGGGGGTGAAGCTCCGTTGCCCACTATGGCCACCCGCTGCAGTAACAGCTTCTCACTGCCTCTCTACTGGCAAAAAAATTGGCTACCTATTGACTACCTGCTTTTTACCCCCTAATAGGTCTCGGCGGGAGGATCCTGGAGCCAACAGACAGGAGCCACTTTCCTGCTAGTCCAAAGGCCACCCTCACCATTTGAGACAGGGTAGCTACGTAGCAGCTCTGGGGTCAGACAGTGTGGTTTAGTTCCCGTGCCAGCACTTGCTGGCTACACGACCTCAGGCAAGGACTTCACCTCCCTGAGCCTCAGCTCTCTCACCCGTGAAATGGGGATATCAGTAGCCACCTCCTACAGCCATGGGAGCTCTGATGTGACCAGGCCTGTGAGACGCCCAGCTCGGTCCCTGGCACCCAGGACACTTCCATGTTTGGAGAACTCAGTGTGGGAAATCGCCCCACCACCAGCCTGGCCTCACACAGGCAGCAGGAAGGTACCCACCCAAGGCCGAGCCCAGATTCCAGGCTGAAGGGATGGGCACATACCTGGCCTCCCCCACACCTACCCAGGGTAGGGCTGGCTTTGAACTGGCCTGGGAGAACAGGCCAGCAACATAGGTCCAAATGCTAGTACTGCCATAGGCCCCCTGGATGACACTGGGTGAGGCCCTTCCTTTTTCTGGGTTTCTGTCTCCTCATCCACACAGTGGCCTGGCCCCCTCCAGCCCTGAGATTCTGGGTCTCTCAGCTGTCCAGCCGATGCCCAGGACACTGGGTCATCAGGAGGACAAGAAATGGCTGGTGCCCCCAAAGCCTTGGCCATTTCCATGGCCTGTCTCACAGCAAGCGCCACCTTTGGGCCTTCCTGCAGATGCTGTCAGCAACTCTGCCTTGACCATCCTCTTATTTAAGCCCCGCGGTGGCTCTCTCGGCCCTTAGGATAAGTCCCACCTCAATCCAGCTCATCAAGCCCTGCAGTCCTGGCCCTGCTTCCCTCCCACCTTCTGCTCCAGTTCCAGGAACCAAATTCTAGTTCCCTGAACGCACCATGCTCTGTCCTACTTCTGGACCTTTGCACACACTGTTTCCCCCACCTGGGATGCTGTCTGGGTTAACTCAACATAAATTAAGTACCCACCACAGTGGGGGGAAAAAAAAAATCACACTCCTGCCATTGCAGACCTCTCAGAATCTGTAACCAGGGCATCGTTCAGGACACCACTCATTAGTGGAGCTATCCGGCCTGCATCTGTCTCTCCCTCTAGAAAGTAGGCGCCATGAGTGCAGGGATGGGGTCTCTACACCCCACTCAATTCCCCCAAGCCCCGCACAGCGCCTGGCACTAACTGGGCTCTAAAATGATGTTAAATGAAAGGAGAATGGATGAAGGAAGCAGGGTCCGTGTGATGAGGGGCACGAAGGAGAAGTGCAGGGGGATCACAGAAGAGTTAGCGGGGGCACTAGACCTTGAGAGAGGCCCCCAGGTTCAGCCAGGTCTCTCCTCCAGGCACCCACAGTCCCTGCAAAGGGTCCCTCATCACAGCCTACGTCATGCCGCTCATGTCTGCCAGCCTCCTCCTTCCAGGCCAGGGAGGGGAAATCATGAAGGTGCCGAGGACTTAAGCAGGTCCCTTCCCCACTCCAGGCCTTGGTTTCCGTCCTGTAAAGTGGGCTTTTTTTTTTTCACAGTCTGGGAGTTCAGGGACATATTGGTTTGTTCACCGTTCAAAATGCAGAGCGAGCCCAGGGCCTGGCATTCAGGAGGTGCTCAGTGGATACCAGCTGAATGAAGGATGAGTGAATGGCGGGGAGGCAGGCAGACAGTAGGGCCCAAGAGCTGCAGGGCCGCCCCATCCCCAGTATAACCCAGAACACCTAGGGTCAAAGTTTCCTGGCATCCAGTCCTCAGCAGGGCCAGGTTCTCATGTCTCTGCATGAGTAGGCCCTTCCTGGGGCAACCAGGGCTCAATGAGGGGGCCCCCAGCCTCACCCAACATCCAACCATCCTACACATAGATGGCAGTGTGGGCTTGAGAGGGTCCTGGGAAGGTGGGATCATGTTAACTGCAGTTATTTCTTCAATGTTTACTGTATGCGAGGCACTGCACTCAGCATTTCTCACATCTCCTATTTCTGATTCTCACGTCACCACTAGAAGGGAGGCACTGTGATTAGTTCCACTTCAGAGAGGCAGAGAGGTGAAGTCACTTGCACAAGGCCTCGGCCTGAACTCTGACCCCAAAGCCCAAGCTCTGCACCACTCTACTAAACGGCCTCCAGAACGCTCACTACAGGACCTCACGGATGGAAAACGCTGAGCTTCTGGAGCTGTGTCTGATGGGGAGCTCCAGAAGTTAACATCCCAGAGGCTGCCTGACCCCTCACCGGGTTCCCTGAGTTGTAGAGCAGTGCCCCCTACCCAGGGCGTGGCATCAGAAGTACTCAAACAACGAAGAGCTGCCCGGCCTCGATTTGCACAATCCCAGCAATGGGGAGCTCTTTCTTCCAGGCAGCCCCAAAGCACTGTTTGAAGGAAAAAGGCACTCCCTACACGCCGAGGAGAGAGTTCAGCCTCTCCGGCTCCGGGAACGGAGGGGAAGAAGGGCCCAGGTCCAGGCCAGTGATCCGTTCCCGCCTCACGCACACCACCGCCCCATTACAGCCCACCGGCGCCCCGGGACCCAGTGGAGCAACCCCGGCCGCGCAGCCGCAGAGTGCGCGAGCGAGCGGCTCACAATTTCGCCCAGCTCATCGCCACACCACTGCGCCTGCGCGGCGCGCGCGCCGGCCGAACCCTCCGTGGCTCACTATTTGACAGTTCCCACCCCGGTCCCCCGGCGCCCCCTCTGCGGGCTTGCGCCGGCCGGAGCGCCCGGCACTGACTGGCCGGCCCCAGCAAGGCGTCCTCGAAGCCGGGGTTGTCTTTTACCTGCAGGATATTCGACGTGGGTGAGGGTCACCGGCCGCCATGAAGCGGGGAGCGAGCACTGTCCGTCCGCTGCCATCTTACCCGGAGACCGGGCTTCGCCGAGCAGCCAATAGGGAGCCAGGGGGGCGGTGGTCCTGACCTATCACGCCGGGGGAGGTGCCGCGCGCCCAATCGGAGGCCGATACAGGTAGCGGCGCAGCCATTCACCGTGCAGGCCGTGGGGCAGGCCCGAGCGGCGAATCAGGAAGCAGGGCCCCTAGGAGCCTGCGAGCCGGCCAAGACGGCGCCCAATCCGGGACGAGCGCAGGTAGGTGGCTAACCAATCAGAGAAAAGGAGGGTTTCAGCACACAACAGAGAGCAGAACAGCCAATCAGAAGGTGAGGCCGGCTCGCGGTGTGGGCAGGGCGGGCCAATCACCCGCTAGCTTGGGGGGCGTGTTGAACTTTGGTGGGAGCTTTGGTTTGGTGGGGACGTGTACCGAGTGAAGGCTTCCTCGATACCGGGAGCCAGCCCGGGGTCGACAGGACTTGAGCGCCTGTCAGAGCGCATGCTCGAAGCGGGGAGGCAACCTCGGCACTATGGAGTCTGAACTCACCTACTTTTAGTTATGAGTTAACTGAGGCCAGAGACCCAGAGGGGACTTATTTTCCTTTGCCCTTTACTGACTGCCAACGGAGCAAATCACACAAAACTGACAACCTTTCCATTAAAGGTTGGGGGTGGGATGGGGGAAGGAACTCCCGGGTCGGGGCTCACAGTCGGCCCCCTGAATGCTTTATGGAAGCTTAACTGATGTCGAGTGGAAGCGTAATTGAAATTAAAAGACTCCGTTCCTCATTTCATTCAATTAACACAGATTTATTGATTCAGTCCCGTTTATGCTGCTTAATGAGGCATCTTGGGAGCATTTTAAACAAGAGGCGGGTTTTCCACCTATACCTCAGTTTTCCCAAAACATTCCTCTCATTGTCCTACAGGCCTTGCATAAATACCACACCTTACCACCCACCTCTCCCTCTCCCACCCTCACTCTCTCTTGGGCTAGATTGCAGTGCTTACAGTCAGGTAAAGTGTCGTTGAGCCTTTTCACATGCTGTTCCAGTCTGTCTCAGGTGTCTGTCCTCACTTAGAGGTTTCCATGGCCAGGAGAGGGGCCTCCACTGGGCTCCCACAGTTGCATCCCAGTTGCATCCTCTCTCCTACCCCCGCACTGACCACACTGGACTGTAATTGGCTCCTTGTCTGTCTCTCAACAGTAAACAATGGTTCTCTGAATTCATGCAGCGCCGAGATCAGCTTGTAGAAAATGGGCCCTGGATTGATCCAGTAGATCTTGGGTTGCAGCCTTGGAGTCTACATTCTTATGTCCCCTGGGGCTCTGATATAAGTGGTTGCAGCCACAACTGGAGAAGACCTGGGCAGCATGAAGACAGGGCCTGTTACGTATTGGAGACAGGCCCAGGCCGATGCTAGAACAAGTGCCGGATAAATAGCCTAAGTGTTTATGAGAAGTGAGAACACAGCAGAGAATTCCGCTGACTCTGTGAGCCAGCCAGGCAGCAGGAGTGAGTACCATGGGTGGGGCTGAAAGGACTGGGGGGATGATGGTGACTCAGAACCCACCAGCGAGCCAGGAGGGCCCCCAGGACCCCTCAACTGTACTCAGCTTCCCACCCGGCCCAGCCTGGGCTCATGTGGGTCAGCTGGCCCCATTTCACTGTCACCTGCCCTCAGCTACCTCAGGCACTGCCATTATTAGCCGCTGAGAGGCAGGAGGTGTGAGGAGTGGGCTGTGAGTTTCCCAGAATAGTTCCCTAGGACAGGGACGCCGTCCCGTCTGGCTGCATGGCCCCTCCCTGGTTAGATGGCATTTCATGGATGAGCAGTTAGGCTTGAGAAGCCAAGTCCCCGAAATCCAGGCCTATCCTCTCACCTCAGGGAGAGTGTTCTGGAGGAAGTGTCAGGGTGAGGAACTATAAAATGTGAGGGAGTTAGCTGGGGTGGGCTTTTCCTGGCAGAGGGAACAGCACAGGATGAAATAGGCAAGAGAGAGGGAGAGGTGAGGTGCTGGGGGAGAGGGGCCTGGCCTCCCAAAACTTGGAGGGCCACTCTTGGTGACTACAGAGGGGATCTTGAAAGGTGACTTTGTCGTTTGGTTCGGTTTTGCCTTTGAAAAAAATTAAAATATAACACTCATACAGGAAAATCCAGAAATCAAATGTGTATAGCTTGATGAAGTTTCACAAACTAAGCACACCTGTGTTTGCAGCCCCCAGATCGAGAACCAGAGCCCCAGGAGCTCCTGACACCCCTTCTCATCACCCCAGCGTGACCACCATCCCATCTGCTAGCACCATACATGAGGTTAGTCTGATCTGTGTACTTTCTATAAGCCGAATGCTACAGTACGTGCTTTGGGGGCGTGGCTCCTTTCCCGGCATCGTGTTTGTGAGATCCATGCTGCGGCCTCTAGTTGTAATTCGTCTATTCTCCCTGTGTAGTGTTCCACGGTGTGAACACACCATGTTTATTGGTTTCTTTTCCATTCGACTCGACTCTTTTTTTTTTTGGCCGCACCACACGGCCTGTGGGATCTTCCCCGACCAGGGGTCAAACCCGTGCCCCCTGCATCGGGAGTGCGGAGTCTTAACCACTGCGCCACCAGGGAAGTCCTTCCATTCAACTCTGCTGGACTTCGGGGTGTTTCCAGGTCTGGGGTGTTAGGAATGGTGCTGCTAGGAACAGCCTTGTGCAGATCTTTGGTGTACAAATGGATGCTTTTCCGATGGCGATGTGCCTAGGAGCCAGTGCGGGGTCCCATGAGATGGGAGAGATGACAGCACAGACCTGCCATGTGGATGAGGAGCTGGGCTGTGCAGGCATGAATGCTGTGAGGGGAACCATGGGAAGCTGAAGGAGCCGCCTGCCTCCTCCCTGAGCTGAGGGGTGGAGCAGTGATGCCCCTGGTATCTCTCTGAGCATCCTGGGAGGTGCTCCATCCTTAGTCACTCGTCTTAGCTCCACTACAGCCTGGGAGGCAGTTCTTAATGCACCCAGTTTATAGCTGAGGACAGTAAGGCTCTGAGCGTCTCACCATTTGCCAAGTCAACTGGCTAGTGTGTGACAGAGCCACGATTTGAATCCAGGTCTGCCTGATGGGCAGGCCCAGGTTCTGAACCACCCTGCATCTCATTAACCAAACTGCAGGCTGCCTCCTCCCACTGCCCAGAGGAGTCCTCAGACAAGTCGCAGCTGTCCCGGGCAGGGCAGGCCTTTCACTTTGGCCTCTCCTCTGGAAGGGAGTTCACAGACAGTGCGGCCCCCGGATTAGAGGCACAATGTCTTACTCTGTGCACCACACCCCAGCCACCCTGGCATGCGCTCAAAGTCCCTAGGAAAGAACTCTTCCCCTCTCTGGGCCTGTTTCCCCGAAATGTGTCAGCTGCCGCCCTCTAGATTAGAGGTTTGTTTATGCACTTCCGGGACTATTTGAGCTCCTAGGCGGTGCCAGACCACGTCCGTCTGGGCATCAAGGATGAAGGGAGAAAGATGGAGAGGAGCAAGGTGCTGCCATCGAGAAACTGTCCTTCCCACAGAGGATGTGGGACTCCTGGATCCTAAAGATGCCAGTAAGAAAGACAAATGGTCTCAAAGTAGAAGTGACAGTTTTGGCTTCAAAACCTCTGAGAGGAGCCATTCACTGTCTGTGTCTTAGCATAGAGGCTTCTAGAAGTCGGGGCCTAGCGTTCCAAACACCGTGGAGCCAAGTCCTCGAGACACATTGTCTGGCTCAGTCTCCCAAGCCACAAGCTCCCCTGGTTTGTGGCATGTGCTGATTTCCATGGTGTAAATACTCTCTCCTGTGGCCACTTGCCAGCCACCATCGTGATGGTACTGAACAAGGAGTTAGGAAGAGATGCACAGTCCGCTCTCGCTAGCAGATGGGGTGCAAGCCGGCTCCGGAGCCTCCACCGCTGCCTGTGCAGCACCTGGCGCAGTGCTTGGCACACAGCAGGCGCACAGGAAATACTTGGTGGACAGATGATCCTTCTTCACCTGTCCTGTCCCATTTGCGCCCTGGGAGCCATTTATATTGTAATCGAAACCACTGTTTACTGAGCACTTGATGTGAACCACAGATTGGGCCAAAGACGACACTACGACACTACGAGATCTTACCCTCCACACCCCCCCCCAGGCTGCACGAGAATCAGTCTCACAGGCGATGCAGCAGAAGCCCTACGGGTTCAGAAGCCCTACGGGTTCAGCCCTACGGGTCCACGCTGGGGCTGCTGTGTATTCGCTGTATGTGCACTGGGGTGGTCATCCTCCACTCTCAGTTTCCCCTTTCATCAACAAGGGGGCTGGCATCAGTTACCTACTGCTGTGTAACAAGCCAGTCCCAAACCTAGTGCCTTAAGACCATCACCATTTTATTCAAGATCTGCAACTTGGCTGGCTCAGTTCTGCTGGGTCACTCATGCAGCTGGTGACTCGACTGGGCCTGTGTGGTCCAAGGGGCCTCCCTCAAATCTGACCCTTAGCTGGGGCTGCTGGCCCGGGTGCCACATTCTCCTTCACGTGGCCTCCAGCAGAAGAGCCAAGGTTTTCATGGCCGCAAATACTCTCCAAGAGGGCGACCCCAGTGCACCAGAGCTCGCCAAGCCTCTGCTTGCATCACGTCACTCTTGTTCCACTGGCCAAAGCAGGTCACGTGGCCGAGGTCAGAGCTGCCATGGGAGAGGCCTATACAAGGACATGGATTCCAAGAGGCACGATTCGTGGGGGCCGTGACTGTAACAGTCCACCGGCCGCCACAGAAATAAGGGGGCCAGGATTCCCCTGAGGGCCTTCCCAGACCTGGTGTCTGGTATTCTGAGCTTCCTGGGACTTGTTATGCTAGAAAGGAAGTTCTCCAAGACTGATTCAGGGTGTGTGGCGGGGGGATGGCAAAAGGGCCCAGGAGCCAGCTCAAACGGACTCCCACTGGGAAAATTTGTGACCATCTGAACATCAGAAAACTGATTGTAACTGATTGTAAATATCAAACAAATAATAACCCACGAGTCCACAGTGGTATTCAAAACGGAAGAGGTAAAACTCTTTGCGGAATGCTATTCGGCAACAGAGAAATAAAATACTGATACGTGCCATAGAAGGGATGAATCTCAAAACAGTATTCTATGTGCACAAGCCAAGCACAAAAGATCACATGTTGTGTGACTCCACTTACAGGAAATGTCTGGAAAAGGCAAGTCATGAGAGAAAGTAAATTGGTGGCGGCCTGGGGGCTGGGGGATTCACTGCAGTTGAGCATAAGGGGTCTTTTGGGGTGATGGAAACACTCTAAAACAGGGGTCCCCAACCCTTGGGCGATGGACCGGTAGCGGTCCGTGGCCTGTTAGGAACCGGGCTGCACAGCGGGAGGTGAGGGGCGGGCGAGTGAGTGAAGCTTCATCTGTCTTTACAGCTGCTCCCCATCGCTCGCAGTACCGCCTGAGCTCCATCGCCTGTCAGATCAGTGGCGGAATTAGATTCTCATAGGAGCACGAACCCTACCGTGAACTGCGCATGCGAGGGATCTATGTTGCGCACTCCTTACGAGAATCTAATGCCTGATGATCTGAGGTGGAGCTGAGGCGGTGATGGTAGCACTGGGGAGCGGCTGCAAATACAGATGAGCAGAGAGGTTTCACTGCACAGAGACTGTAATAAATCAGTTGCTTGCAGACTCATATCAAAACCCTATCAGTGGGCTTCCCTGGTGGCACAGTGGTTGAGAATCCGCCTGCCAATGCAGGGGCACGGGTTCGAGCCCTGGTCCGGGAAGATCCCACATGCCGCAAAGCAACTAAGCCCGTGCGCCACAACTACTGAGCCTGTGCTCTAGAGCCCACGAGCCACAACTACTGAAGCCCGCGCACCTAGATCCCGTGCTCCGCAACAAGCGAAGCCACCGCAATGAGAAGCCCACGCACCGCAACGAAGAGTAGCCCCTGCTCGCTACAACTAGAGAAACTTTTCTATACATTTAAAATTTTCAAAAGCACAGAAAATTTTTAAAACGTACAGCAGTCCCTGCTTATCCAGTTTTGCTTTCTGAGACTGCACTTACCCTCAGTCAACCATGGTCCGAAAATATTACATGGAAAATTCCAGAAATAAACAATTCATAAATTTTAAATTGCACACCGTTCTGAGTAGCATGATGAAATCTCGTGCCATCTCGAGCCATCCTGCTCTGTCCCCTGGGACGTGAATCATCCCTCTGTCCGGCGTACCCATGCTGTATACACTACCTGCCCTTTAATAGCCATCTGGGTTATCAGAATGACTATCACAGCATCACAGTGCTTGTGTGTGAGCAATCCTTACTTTACTAAATGGTCACCCAGCACAAGAGGAGCGATGCTGGCAATCCAGATATGACAGAGAGAAGCTGTCAGGTGCTTCCTTTAAGTGAAAGTTTTCAACTTAGGAAAGGAAAAAAATCATGTACTGAGGTTGCTGAGATCTACAGTAAGAACAAATCTTTTATCCATGAAATTATGAAGAAGGAAAAAGAAATTTGTGCTAGTTTTGCTGTTGCACCTCAAGCTGCAAGTTACAGCCAGTGTGTGATGTGATTAGTTGAGATGGAAAAGGCATTAAATTTGTACAATATTTTGAGACAGACCATATTCACGTAACTATTATTACAGCATATTGTTATAATTGTTCAATTATTCTTGTCATTGATCTCTCACTGTGCCTGATTTATAGAAATTAAACTTTAGGAATTCCCTGGCGGTCCAGTGGTTAGGACTCCATGCTTTCACTGCCGAGGGTGTGGGTTCAGTCCCTGGTTGGGGGAACTAAGATCCCGCAAGCCACGCAGTGTGGCTAAAAAATAAATAAATAAATAAACTTTATCATAGGTATGTGTATATAGGAAAAAACGTAGAATATATAGGGTTCAGTACTATCCGTGGTTTCAGGCCTCCACTGGGGGTTTTGGAATGTATCCCCCGCCCATAGAGGGGATTACTGCACTTTTCAAATAAACTTCGTGATGTCTGACCGCCCATGAAAACTTCTGAACACCTGGTAAGCTCAGATCTGCTGCATTCCTGCTCCAGCCCTCCCCTCTGGCTCTTACCCACTCAGCCATTCACAGTGACTGAGAGGCTGAGTCTGCACCCCTGCCGGGTCCCCTGCCTGTATCTTAAGAGTTGTGGACATAGAGGCCCCTGAGCTAAGCGACCTTACCTAGATGCTGCCGGGGCAGGATCCACTCCCAGGCTGCCCCACCCACATCTATGCCCTTAAGCGCTGCAGTGGCACCCTCCCCACCTTCACCCGAGGGACACGTGGCCCTGGCAGGCTGCCGAGCAGCTCATAGCTCCCACCAGGCTGCCTTCCACCTTTGCCCTCCTGGAGCCTCCCCCAAACTGCACCCCAAAGAGCAGGCCCCCAGGAAGCAACAGCCACACGTGCACGGCAGTGTGGAAGGAAATCATTAAATCATTTATTTGACTCTGAGTCAACGTGCACACGCCCTACCGTACAAAAGTGGGGAGCTGCAACAATCCAGTGCGGGAGGCAGTGCGTGGACGTGTAAACAAAGACAGAATGAAAATGCCGCTTCTGTGTGCATTTCTGGGAGCGAATCAGAGCAGCCGGGGGGGCCCAGGCCCAAGATTACATTCACAGCGCGGGGAAGTGCAAATGAACGGAATGTCAGGAGGGAGGGGCTGCCCAGGTCCTTCCCACCCAGGAGGCTGCTCCGTCCAGGGCAGCGACTCCAGAGAAGTGGGTTTGCAGCCAGAAGCACAGTTAGTGTACAGCGGTCCTACAGTCTGGGGGGCAGGAGGGACCACGTGGGGGAGGGACTGGGCTCAGAGATAGTGGGCCCTCTCCCATCCCCCCTCCTTCCCGGCCCCAAGGGCCAGACCACCTCCCGCCCCGGACCCCTCTGCCATTCAGGGGAGGGTGCCCACCCCCGCCGTCTGAGCCAGTCCCAACTCCAGAGTGTGGAGAACCAGGAGTCTGTTTCTCTTGTAGGCCTCTCCACCTGGAAAGGGGCCGACCTCAAAATAACGTGTTAAGGCAATAAATAAAAGAGCCCATCCCACCTCAGGTGAAAACACTGTAAGAGAAGTGAGTCTACAAATGCCGCCGGGCTTCCTCTGCAGGACCAGCGGGGAGGCGGGCTCTACACGGCTTGAGAGCATTTGTCATCGAGTTGAAGGCAAAGTGCCAGGCAAGTTTCTTGTCCTGATGCTGGTCCAGCCGCCTACATCCTCTAACCTCCCCTGATGTGGCCCCTGGGCCCCCTCACTCCAGGGGCCCTGCTCCTGGTGACCCGTGGTCAGAGCCTCCAGCTCAGTGCCTAGCACCAGCCGGGGAGTCCCGGGCTCACAGAGGGCGGGGCAGGGGCGAGGGGACCAGCCCCACCTCCTCCGTCTTTGGTGGTGGCAGAGGTAGGTGGGAGGAGAAGTGACGGCCTTTGGCAGGGCCAGGGTATGTCAGAGGACGCTGTCCCGGTTCAGTGCTTGGGTTTGTTCAAGGGCCTGGTCCCCGCCCTGACGTGAACGCAAGGAAAGCGGGCCCGCCTCTGGATGGCCCGGGCCCGCCGCCCACCAAGGTGCCCCCCGGCCACACTCTGTGGCTCCCACCCTCCCATCTCTGGAGCAGCACATTCTCTCGGGTGGCAGCAGGCCGTCAGGACTGGCCGGGCAGATGCCTGGATCTGAGACTGTCCAGCCCAGGTTCCTCCACTGCAGCGCCCGGCCACCCCCTCTTTCACCTCCACCCTCCCAGCCCCACTCAGCAGCCCTGGGGTGGCAGGGGGTTTTGGGCACCCACCCCCGGGGCATCCCATCTCTGCCTGTCCTGATTCTCCTCACAATCCCTCAGGCCCCACTGGCCACTGGTCCAGCCTCTGCTTTCCCACGAACAGCTGAGGCGGGCCCCTCGGGGCTCCACGCCGCTCAGAGGAAGTTTATCCCCTGGGCCTCGGGGATTCCAGGTGATGGAGGTTGGGGTGGGGGCGAGGTCAGGGGCGAGCACCCTTGGCCACCATGGCCTGGGCTCTGCCACTGCTGACGGCCAGACACCCAGGCCTCCAATGCCAACCCCAAGGCCTTCTCTCTGCCATCAGCCACGTGAATGAGGACCAGCCAGCCACTCCTGCCGGTCCACACCCACCGCTACTGCAGCTCCTCTGGGGGCCCGTTATCTCGGGGCAGCACACCGTTCAGGCCAATGCTGCTGGCCACTGGCGCCCCCAGGTAGCCGAGCAGGATCTCGCTGCGGCGCCGGGACAGCTGGAGGATGTCGTCCGCCAGCGCCGGCACCGATGTGTAGCGCACGTTGTCCAGGTCGAACATGTCCCTCAGGTACTGCACGATCTGGTGCTGGGGGAGAGGGCGGGTGTTGGGCCTGGGCCGGGGCCCCTGCACCCCCCGCGCTGAGGTCGTCCGGGCCACCCAAAGCCTCTTCCTTCACCACTGGAGCCCTGACCCAGCCCCTTCTGTCCTCAGCTCCTGCCCTCCCGGGGCTTCCTCTGGACCCACCCAGGTCAGGCTCCCAGTGGAAGGAGCACAAGCTCTCAGACATGGAGCTCCCTGTTTACCTTAAAGAAAGCACAGACTTCAGAGAGCTGAGGCTTGGGTCCGAGGAAACCGAAGGCTAGGACGGGGCTAACGTGCTCCGATACGGAGTAGAAATGGGAGATGAAGCCATCAGGCACCTGTGGAGGGTGGCAAGGCTGAGGGCTGGGACCCAGGCAGGGTGAGGCAGCCAGGCCCTGGGGTCGTATTAAGAGCCGGGGCTTCTTTACTGTCCTTGCTAGGTGATGCCGGGCAGGTGACTGGGGCTTTTTGGTTTTTTTGGCCACACCACGCGGCTCACAGGATCTTAGTTCCCCGACTAGGGATTGAACCCAGGCCCTGGCAGTGAAAGCGCCGAGTCCTAACCACTGGACTGCCAGGGAACTCCCATGACTGGGGCTTTCGAAGCCCTGGTTTTCACCTCTGCAGAATAGGGGCAACCTTGGGGCTGTGGTGAGGGCTGCGCGAGCGGCCCGGGGTGCGCTCAGCACAGGAAGTGCCCAGAGCATGTGGCAGTGGCAGATGGTATCAGCTGGGCAGCAGAGCCGGGCTGGCAGAGGGGAACAGTGGATTGCAGCAGCCCGGAGAGTGCAGCCGGTCGCCGCCTGGGAGAGCAGGTAATGCAGCCCGATGGGCGGGAGGGAGGCTCTGCCTGCCCCGCCGAGACGCCTCCGCCAAGCCAACCACCACTGCTCTGCACGTGCCCTTCCTCCCTCTGAAGACACCCTTTCCCCGCTTTTGATTCCTTTGACGTTTCACAGTGGCCTGCTCTGTGAT